TGGTATTTTATGGTGGGCGGCCATCTAGTTTTTGAAACAGTATCGTCACTGTATGTTTGTTCGTTTTCAAATTACAATTTGTACTATAATTTATGCAAAAAAATAAATGCATAAACGTGCTGATAATGATACGTTACAACAATGTGACAAGTATGCCAATGCAAAATAGGAAAGAACAGAAAGAGCTTGTAACACTGATTCCTCACTAAGCAAAGCATGAGTCATTTTCAATAAAAATCAGGGGGTTACAAATCATATGGATTACATACAAGAATCACAAGAAACTAAAGAAATGACGGTGTAGTAGAACGGACGATGTATTAGTCCTGGCGACAATATTACGCCCCTCTTCTTCCGGGCAAACGTCCTCCCCTGAATAGACACTCCCCACAGAGCCATTGAATTAGATGACCAAATGACTCCAAGTGAAATTCTAGTTATTTGTGTGGTTACTGCGCTTAACAATATAAACTAGAATACGCTTGACAAAAGGACCACCGGCGTTGACTCTTACCTGTTGTTTTCTTGATCAAAAATCATAATTGCGCTTAGCGATATATATTAGAATACTTTCAGCAAACGTCTTTGGTTCTTATCTGTAGTTTTCTGAATCAAAAGCTGTTGCGTCCAACGATATAGTGTAAAACATGTCTTTTTGGCTATCGTGTTATTTTAGCTATTATAGTTAATTTGTAATTTCACTATTTCAAGATGTCGCTAATTTAAAATAAAGTATATTCTCACAAGATTGATGGCACATTAGCTAAATTAAGTTTCTGTTAATTTATGCCATGTTTCAAATTTGTTGCAATGTCGCTATTTTGACGTTCTTTACAGTATACTAGAATACCTTTGCCAAAATAACCAACAGTTGTAGATATCACCTGTTTCTGAACCAAAGTCATTGCGCCCAACGATATACATCCACAGTATGAAAACGTTCATTCTTGATGAACACAATTCTGTAGTAATTTGCAAATAATTTCAGTCATTTACAATCGTGGAACAAAATATCCGGCAACACAAACACAAGAATACGGGAAACACCGAAGAGTGAGACCCACTCGTTATGGATGCAATCGAATAAGGAATGACAATTTTCAACAATTGGATCCAGTTGAAGATCAATATTGACAATAACGAAGATGACGTCACAAATCGATTTCAACACTGAGGAATATAATTTGACAAATCGAAGCACGGGAAATCAATTAGCAGTGACGTAAAATAGACTGAAACTGACATCTTCTCACAACTATAAGTCAAATTATATTAACCTACATATTTGTAATAAATATGTAATACATTTGTTAGTCGTAATTCGAAAGTATCTGCATACGAAGCATGGCAGTAATTGAAAATCAATAATATTAGAGTCGATGACGTGGCCAATAGACACGTACGCACCAGTCTAAGACAGTATATTAAATTATTCTTGAATACAAACCAGCACGTAACAAATTTGCGAACCAAACTGATTTATTGAATCATCGAATGATAATGAAATTTGCTCCCAAAAAATCTTCAATTTATGTATTTCAATAATCAAATATCTTTAAACGTTTGCATTATGACACTTTGCGTGATTAGACGCTGTTATGATCCTGACCATGTGTGAATTGTGTGAGCGAACACGCTCAGAGAGGGGAAGGCGTATATGCGTGTCACAGGCATACTGTTTTATAATTGTTATCTTGAATCATACGAACTCAGTAACTCAGAGACAGACACAAGACTAGCACCAGTAGGTGTGATTTGTTTATACTGCGCATGGGCAAAATAGACAAAAAATAAAACAATTGCGTGATAGCTGTGGAGTGATCCCGAAACGTTTTGCGTTAAACACTATTTTATTTTTACCTTCAGTATAAAATGTAAGTCTTACTGGAGCCAAAGCTTTGACCCGGGCCCCATTAGAAAAAAAATAATTGTTTCATTGTTGGAAGGAAATAAGATCCAACGCATTGAATTTGTTGAAAACGGCGATGACGCAAAATCTTGTTCCAGTTTACCACTGAAGTGCTGCTAAACAATAAGAATCACCGCATGCTTATATCCACAGCATTTCCACATGTTTCTCACAGGTGAGGAATTGACCATAGAAAGTCTAAGGTGGTGGAATTGAAATAAATTAAACAACACAGAAACAAATTAAATAAAACATCTACACGGAAAGCTATAGAAAAGGGTATATCGATAAAAAAACTGGATGAAACAAAAACGTAATTTGCGCATTAGTTCACCCCAATTGGTTTCTTCCAAGTTTTCATTTATCGTAGCTACATCGTTATTATTGCATCTAATGCGCCGATGCATACTGTTAACAATTATACCACAAACCTTAGATCTAAGGTGCATAGGTATATCAATAGCAGACACGTGATACATTATTCCCAATCCACCTAATTAACGACTACTCATGTTGAAATAACATTAAAGTTCAAAATAACAGGGGCCTTTATAGTTTTCTCACGATCGGAGTAACGTTATATATATGCGGTGTTCTTTAATAGCGAGGATAACTATGTACAACTATTTAACAAGACGAAATAAATGGTAGTTATAATTGGTATCATGTAAATACAAGTGTATTCCAGCCACCAGTTGATTATAATAAGCCCTGTCACGTGTAAAGTGGGAATAAATATGACAGAAATATGAACATTATTAATATTTTCATTCTTTGATTGTTAATCATTATATGTATCACAACTTTAAAGCGCGGTGGTCGTCGCGCAGCGCGTGTTCGAATTTCATATACATAAACAAAGTATTTTACACGCGTCGTATACGTCGCTATGAGTCCCATATCGAACATATCTGTGGAATATGATGCCAGACTGAGGGAAGTGTTCTTGGGTTGTTAAAAATGAATGGCATTTGCGTGTTTCAGTGACAATGATGTTTTAACCGAGTAGAATGGAGTTGTGTTGTACCACCAGACTTTCTCGCCCAAATTTGTCTGCACTTTTTCTTATATTTTTCATATATTTGGAATAGAACCCTAATGTTGGAGCTAACAGACAAAATTTGAGTCAATTTTCAGTTATTATTAAAAAAATTATATTTTTTCCCAATCATCTGAAGGAAAGTACAGACTATAAACGGGACTGTTTTTTGAATTTGTTTTGAAAAGAGGGAACTGGTGGTGAAAAGGTTAAAGCAATCTCCAAACACCATTATATCGCACCGCGACTTGGTGAATTAAAATTAAATCTTTAAAAATGTAATACAAACGTGGATATGCCCGTGTTGATGACCGTGTGCGTTGTGACACTACAGTGAGTCGTTGATGTGATCGAGTTTATGTTTGTTCATATCGTAGTTTGTCGAGTCGTATTCATTTTTGTTGAGTAATTCTATTTGTTGCTAACTCGACTACAGCTACAACTTGTATGTAAGACTATTACAGTTGTTTATTATTAAAAGAGGAGTGCAACGAAAAGCAGATATCAAATCAAATACACGCATTCACATTGTACTGTAAAACTGACGTTTAGCAAATTAAATCGACTGAATCTCTGCCTCCACAAATAATAATTATTCCTATTTACAGATATTCTGTGACAATTTGATTCCTAAACTTATGAGAGTTACAGTGGTGTCATCACCTCTCCATGCAATGCCGCATGGCGAATGCATCATGGGAAAAGCGTTCCATTCTATATTAATCTTAAGACCGGGGCACAGCACGCGTGCAATTGGAAGAAACCTGGCTGACATGTGTTCTAGCACCAATGCAGTGACACTCTCAGTCTTAACCGTCTGATTACGCATAAATAGGAAAACGAAATATTCCCACGTATGGCAGCTTGAGACTGGAAAATATAATTACCGCCGTTATACGTTTCATGCGAATTTCGGGTTTAAACTTTTCACCACCAGACTTTCTCGTCCGATAATTTCAGTTCTTTTTTTATTATATTCTTCAATATTTTTTTGAAATGAACCCTCGTTTTGGAGCTAGCAGGCATAAATTTCAGTCAATTTTCAGTTTTTACTAAAAAAGATATTTGTTCCAATATTCTGAAGGAATATAGGCAGAAATATTTTGTGAATTGATGTTGAAAAGAGGGCACTGGTGGTAAAAAGGCTATGACCTCACATGAAACGATTACATATACATGCATCCATGTATTTTTATTCACGATTGTATAATTCTATTTCGAGGATCGACGCCGGACCACAGAGAGTGTCAGATTGGATATCACCATAATCTGACATTGCCGTCCCATGTCATATCCCTAAATAGCGTTTTAAGTTTGTGTTTTGTTTTACAACGTAAGACAACACTGGTGTTTTAGCACTATGAATGGAGCGACAGATCTTCGTCATTGAAGCGTTGAAAACACCTTACCATAATACAAGTAAGACGCTTTTAAGGGCGGGGTCGGCACTTAAAAAAGCAAGATTATCACTGTTTTCCGTTTGGGTTTAAGAATAAGTCGACGGAAATAAGTCTAAGCTGATTGGTTAAATTTCAACCTTAACTTGTCCAGGTATCAAAAATGCCTCTGTAATTATATTCAATAT